CTAAAGGGACCACGCATCCTATTAAACTGTCAAGTTACAGGACCTGCTGAATAGTTCGCTGCCTTTTATCTCAGTGGCTGGTGCCGCATCAGAGCATGGGGACTCTGTGCACACCATCCTGTGTTCAGAGGCGCGACGGAGCACAAGCAGACCCCGAGCATATCTAGAAGGGTCAGTTGCATTGGAAGTATCAATACAGACACAAAGGCAGTGGAAGAAGCTGACTAGGACAAGCCCTCAGGATAAAAACAAGGTTCTTTGGACAGCAAACAACCAGTTCTTCTCACAAGCTCTCTAGCCCAGCCTTTCAGCTTGTCTGGCTCTTGATTAGCCATACTACCTACATGCTACACTATCTATACCCTTAATGACGTATCTGCCACTGCGCTGTGCCAAGCAGTGGGCTGGGTCACGTATCTCTATTATATAACTCCATACCCAGGGATGGCAAAACCAGCATTGAAGTGCAGGGTGTAAAGGTGAGACTGCCTCTGCTTCCTGATATAGCTAACCCACGGCTAGCTGAGATGTGTCACCAGGTACTACAGGTTGTATCACCTCTGCCGGTAGCAGAGACATGTTCTGAAAAGTGCCTATCTCAGCCCCTGCATCCATCCCACCAGTGAGACACATTTGCAGAGGGAGAGAAAGAAAGTTTGTCATAAAAATCATGACCATGCCATCAGGCTGGGTTGATTGCTCCATTTTGGCTGTAAAAAGGCTATTATCTTTATGAAATATAAAAAGTCTGCAGGGCAAACCCCTAGGCCCCCTCCCCTGCCAAAAACCCCCCACAACAACCAAGTTTAAGAGAACATTTGCATTTGGTCTCATTGCGCAGGTAGATGCTTCTATTGAGGGACACCATGTAGGTGACCTTGGCAAGTAGACCCAGCCACTAGCAGAGCTGTATGTCAACCTATGCAAAGGTTTGAATTTGAGGGCAGCAGGGCAGATCAGCCATTCTGACAGTAATGCTACATGGAAAGAAAAGTCCTGCTTTTAAAATACACCCTTATAATCATTTATCATCTCTTTGCTTTTCAGAAGACTATGAGCGGACTAGCTCGCTTGCATTGAGTAAGTTACTGTGCAATCTAATACTGCTCAGATGGGCATGCTGATTTGTTTTGTTTCCAGCACGCATACAAAGAAGCCAAAATATGCTTCCCCTACCCTGGGAACTGCTGAACTGGGAAGTGAAAATCGGGAAGAGCCGCCTCAAGAAAAATAGCATATACAGCCTTTAGATAAAAATCACAAACCAACAGGACCCAGCAGACTATTCTCCTTTAGAAGTAAGCTTAAAGAAAGCAGCAGTGCAAGAATACTGCCCTGTGAGCAAAGATTTTATCTACAATAGCTTTGATTATCACCTAACCTCTTCCTGGCAATGTACAGCAGGAGCTGATCCCAAATACGTCCTTGTCCTGCTCCTCTGTGGGATGCACAATATACTATGATTTGACACGTTGAGAAGCTTGCTTTCATGGCTGGATTCATTCTAGTCCTACCCCCTGTATGATGGGATAAGGAATCACAATGTACTTGTCAACATTTTTTTCAGGAAGCGACTATAAATAGGCACTGCTGAGTTGACAGCTAAACCTCAGCTTAAGACAAGACAGAGATGCTTCCTTGATAAGGCCAGAAAGCCATCTCTCCTTTGCAGTGTTGCAAATGAAAAATAAATAAAAAAAAAAATCTGTGAAACTGAAACCTCTCTTTAAAAAAAAAAACCCAAATACACACACACACATATTTATGTGACTTCTATTCTGGCCAGGGCTTATAAGTAACAGAAAGCAGGCATTCCTCAAAGTGATAAGCAAACTTATGGAAAATTTCAGTTGCGTCATGAAAAGCATCCTATGAGAGCACCAATCCAGCAGTAAGTCTGGTTTTGATATTAAAAAGTGACATATAACCCAAATACACTATCTGCCTCAGGAACCCCATTCTCATGGACTCACAGTAGCAACTGCAGAAATACTGCACTATGGCCATTTCAAATTGTGTACGTGTGGCCAGAAAAGGAATAAACAAACACCTGAGTTTAGCTGTTGCCAGCATTGTCACCTCAGGCCAAAGTGACACATTTCAGCTACTTCTCGATGAACTTTCAGTGCTGGCTCTCAAGCCTCTCTGGCATTTCAAAGGAGAGAAGACGCAGCTCTTGGGCTGTGGCAGAAGCAACTTGACTTACCAGGAGAACACTCATTGTGTTGGTAAATGCAGACTCTCTCCTGAACTGCTTAATCTTAAAGGTTACTAGGAAAAATACAGTATTACTATGTTTAAGTTTAGCCCAGAAGAAAAACAAATAACCCAGAGTATTCTAGGCCAGCAACTCTCTCACTCCATTGACCCTGGGAATCCAGAAAGAATTGAACGGTTTGTGGCAAACACATTCTGGTCAGGCTTTTCCCGGTGTCTCTCCTGCCTGCTCCCAGCTTCCTAAGCAAGCACTCGCATTCTGATCATAAAACCTCCAACCTCTCTTACACAAGTGCAGTGATTCCCTTCTGAGCATCTCCTTCCATCCTGCAGACTGCCTCCTGGAGCCCGATGGTCATGACCCAACAGAAGCAACCTCAGCTCAGTACAGCCGCAGCCAGCAGCCCTCTCCTCTTACATCTTCCAGAATGGAGTCACCCCGACTAATTTTAAAAAAACAAGTCATCTCCCCCCGCAAATCTGCCCCATGCAGCTGAAGCTACCTGACTCCACGGTTCAACCAGTTTTCCAACAAGATCAAAGCCCGTGCAGTTGTTCAAGGAGCTTTTCAATTACTCCTCCAGTTTCTATCATGAATTACGGCAGCACTTGAAGAGTGCCAAAACCCAGAGGGATCGATTACTCCTGCCCTGGGACAGGCAACAGGCTGGGGGGGGAGACGACAGGACAAGCTGCAAGCACAGTGGCGTTACATTATGCACAGACACAGTTTTGCTGCTGAATGATTGACAATAACTACTGGATGTCACTATTTTAAGGATAATGTCATTTGTGTAATTATCTGGCAGGGTCTCTCTTCAGCGGCTGGCATTATTCACAAGGGAAGAATTAGACTGAAATCCGGCTGCAGAGTAAGTAGATTTGCTATTCTATGCAGACAATCACAGTGCTTTAGAAGCTCAATACATATGGTATATATCACTAGTAATTTTCATACTCTCAGAACCCAGAGAATATTAAAATTACACTCCTTCTCTATTTCACTGTGTCACATATATCATATGATTTCATACTTAAAAATAATTTAATATTCTCTGTCCTCACCTGACCATCTGTTTCTTACTGGAGCTCAAGCTAGGAAGAGAAAGAGAACTTGATTTTACTTGATCTATCATCTCGCCATCATATAGGAAAGTGTCCTCCCACACAGCCCCCAACCCTTTGGCCACTTTAACCCTCACCTATTCTGGTTTTAGCATGTTCAAAACAGGGTTTATCTGATACGGGAGGCTGCACTACTAAACACAGAACTGCATCGCCTAGGTTAAACTATGCAAAGCTCCAAACCAAATGGCATTTGGCCCAACCCACAGTCTGAAACGGTACTAACAGAGCCTGACTGGGATTGGAACTGGTCCCATCCTGGACCCAGTTGTTGGTCTCAGCTGTACAACCATAACCAAGCAGCAAAAAGAGAGAGTTGATGTTATTCTTTGCAGTGCTGGCATGCCGCAAGTAGAACTGAGCAGGGCTACAGCAGACCATACCCACATATGCACGCTTTGCTGCTGGAACCCAGGTAACAGTATTCCAAAGAAAACAACTGACTGTTCCTCCTTCCAGTGCTCTGGGCAAGAGGGTGCCAGAGGTGTTCTGCAAAGCATGAACAGAACAGAAACCTTTCTGTGCAACCAGACTGTCTCAGTGCTGACATCTCCCTGCTCTCGATGTCCTGTTCCACCCTAGAACAGGTCTTGCTCATCCCTGGTTTACACAGGAGGATGCTGGTCGAATTGCCACCTTGGGCAGGGAGGCCTCTGCAAAGCAGACTGGCTGCCTGATCCCTGCCTTGATGCTTGAGCTGACAATGGATCACTTTGGCTGTATAGAAGGGAAACAAATCTAACCAAACTGCCCCCCACCGAGTACAGAGGAATGACAAAAAAAACCCCCACCAAAACAAAACCAAAAAGAGCGCTGTGTATGGGAAATGGCTTCCTGAGAACAGCCCTGAGACCTGGGAGCAGAGGCTGGTGCTGGGAGGCAGTGATGCTCCAGTCCTGCTGCAAACACAAAGATGCCAGACGTGGACAGGATGGGAAAACTCTTGCTGTAGGATCATGGCAGGAATGAAAAAGACTTTTAGCGGCTGAGCTGAGAGGCACTGGATAGGTATGTCAAATAGATAGGGTTTAAACACAGGCCCGTAGCTAATGCAGGGGAAACAAAGAGGCTTGGGTGTAACCAGCACATATTAGCTTTTAAATAACAAGGCACGCAGTGGCAAAAGCAACAGTGCCTTGCATTTACCTCCCAGAAAATCTAGGAAGGTTTCACTTAATGCCTCTCCCTTTGTCATCAGTTTGACATGTGCTCTACAGCAGCAGGACAGGCCCAAGCAGCACGGTGGAGGCTTCTGTCGGTCAGCAGCTAACGCCCAGCAGCCACGCAGGCACCTGAGGTGCGGACAAGGGGCAGTTCTGGGGCTGCTCTAAACCAGCTACCTCTGCAGAGCAACGTGAACTGACACCAACACAAAGTCTAGCCCCTGTGCCTCAGAAGGAAAACCTTGTTTCCTACGTACTTCGCACACACATAACAGCAAGACCCTCCCTGTAGTCAATACCGCAGCCAGAAATTCACTCCTTCCAGGAAGCTGGCGCACCTTGGACAACGTGCAGGGGCAAAGTGGAGCTTTTATCCCAGCTGACAACTTGTTCCTGGTGGGCAGCAAGTGATAGTTATTTATTCAAGCAGAAAACTCAAGCTATCATCTCAGCCGTGGGGTTCAGACAAAGAGAATGAATGAATGAATGCAGAGCTCACCGATAAATGATGCCTCTTTCATGGAGAAACATAAGGGCTGAAATAATTTCTGCAGCATAGAACCGGGCCCGATCTTCATCGAAGCGACGCGACTTCTGAATATGGAACATCAAGTCCCCGCCATTTACGAACTCCATCACAAAGAACAGGCGATCCTTCACACACGCAAACACAACAGATATGAACAGCATTAATCATATTCTCTGTCAGACTTAGAAAACTCTAAGTAAAACTATTATCTCCCAAACAAAAACAGATTAAGCACCCATGAGACATTGGCGGGAAAAAAAAAAAATCCTGATTTTTTTCCAGGAAAGATTAAGTCAATACCAGGAAGATCTGTTAGCACCTCCTTGCCCTGCACTCCTCCCAAACATTTTGCACCAGTCATGAAATGAAGTCCTGTTCACATGTGGATCAGGCAGATCAGTAGGTGTGTGCTCAACACTAACCAGCTCCCTTGGGTTTCCCTGAACCATCCTTAGCTCGAACCAGCAGAGGATGATACCCCTTCAACAGCACTCTCAGCTGAGTGGGCACAAAAGAAATCTGTAAAAAGTCATTTTCTCCTTACTAAACACCTCAGCTCTCTGGGGAAAGATGCTCCATAAAGATGCACGTAACCAGACTGCTCACAGACTGCAGCTCCGCAGCAACAGCGCAAGGGCTCAGGAACAGCAGTGACAATGTTGTCATGGGGGTGTCTCGACACTATTTCTGGGGAACATGTGTTGTTTTCCAGAATGCAGTTTCCTGCCGTACACTTGCCTGGCAGCAGCTTTTTGGGCCCGTAGATTTCAGCTTTCCTTATAGCTCTGATTAACCTGCAGGGACCTCTGGACGATGAAGGAACTGATAAGGACGAAGCATAAACCAAAGTTTCTGCTGGGCAGAAGAGCAACCTGTGCAATAAAGTTCAGCTCATAAACCACAGCTGCTGGTCTCTGAGGTTTCTTTTTTTGGTTTTGTTCTGGTTTTCACAAGAGTCTACAAATAGGGAGGCACCTGCTTAAGCTGCACGCTCAACACGCTGGATATGGGGTTAGTGCATCCAAAAGGGGTGCTGGCTTAACTGTGAGAGGAAGGACACGCAGTGATTTGTCATAAAACTAAATCCTAGAATTATTGCAGTCTGGTTCAAATATTTCCCCTAGTAATTGTTTCAGGACATTCAGTATTGATTGTTTCGGTTTTACTCTGAATATCAGGAACAAGCGGACTGGAAAAAAAAAGAGCCATACAATTCAGTTGAGATCAGTCAGCCTTTTAATGGTACTATTTGCCCTTCTTTCCCCACAAACCCCTTCCCAGGCCTGATGTTAATCATCTACAAGCTAGTTTTAAACCCTCTCTAAGTTTAAGAGGATAAGCATTGTTATGCTCCACTTTCTGGCAGCCAGCCAGCTTGAAATGACTACTGGTATTAACATCTTGAGATGCACACAGCAGAAGAAAAGCACCCAGGAATCCTTTCATTCCTCTCTGGACATGAGCAGGAAAGGAAATGGCTCATGACAGATGAGGACAGCTTGCTTCTCATCACCATCCCGGGCTCTGCTCAACATCTCCTTCTGGGCTGCTTCCAGAAGCTAAGATAGATGTGTTCCCAGCAATCTCACAATACTACCGCGCTTAACACCAAGGCCATGTATTAAAGGGCTATCTCCAGTCCATACAAACAACAATACTTCATTGCTTCACTCTGCCTTTATTATAGGGCAGCTCAAAGACACAGCTTGTCTATGGCAGCAGTCTAAGCTAGAGCAGCACAAACCGTGCAAATCCACCAACAGCCTTGGCTCTTCAGACCGCATCAGATGTCCAATGCCACGTCTTTGCTGCAGTTGGTTAAACTGAGCCTGGCTATACCGTGCCTACCTGTTGGGCAACCCTTCCTCCAGCTGCAGCGCAGTATCAGCTCTGCCTTGCTAGTTGGGCCAGCTTTTACATCTCCTTGTTATTCTTTCCTGTCTCCTTCCTCGCTGATCTCTCCACATGCTTATCTAGCCCAGCTTGTCCAGACAACTCTTCAAGCCCTTACTTAAAAAAGAAATCCCCCTTGCCAGATCTCCAACAGGAAGTTATTTAATTTACCAGCAACCTGACAAAGGATATGTGTGTGTGTATTTATGTCAGTAATATATATGCTTGTATAAACATGCATACAGTTAGGTGAACATGCATATATTTTCTACTCTTTCCTTAAAGGTGAGCTTCAGGGAAATAAAGTTAATCCTTCCTATCTTAAAACATACACGACCTGCTTCTCCAGTGCTGGCAAAACTCCACAGCCCATGTGGATGTATTCGTCTATGCTATGAAGCTTAAAGGAAGATACTACCACTTTGTCAAATGTTCAGGTGAGCACAGAAACAGCTTGTTTTAAAATTCACATCACTGCTGACATGAAATTAGCATCTTTGTGTTACAAACAGCTCTTGCTTCAGACTAACTGCAAACCTGAGCAAGTATTTCATGTGTTACGTGGTGCTCACAAGTCTAACAGCTAACGCCTCACCTCCACCCATGGTCTCATTTCACAGATCAAGCATAAATATGGATTATTTAATTACTGAAGCTCTCCTATTTAAGTCTAACAAAACCTTGGACTACCCAATTATTATGTTTTTTAAAAAAGAGGTCCAGCTAATTGTCTGTCCAGTTTTCTAACACTTCAAAATCCCATGAGGTTGCTGAAGAAAAGAGCAGGATGGGTATCACAGCCTGTTTATAACACAGCATTTGTACATTAGCCTGCTACATACCTGACAACAATATTAGAAAAATCAGCACTAAAGATCCTGGTCCCCAAAGGGTGGTCAAAGAGTCAAGCAAGGTCTTCCATTTTTACTCTTAAGCAAGGCCATCAGCTTGCCAAACTGCAAAGACCAACCACTCTCCCAGGAATCAAGCAATAAAGTACACAGCGGTATTTTATGGAAAACAAAAAAGAAAAAAAAGAAAAAAAAACAAAACCAATTTGCAGGAGGCAGAGTAAGAGTCAATAAATAGCTTAAATAGGGGCCAGGAAAAGGAAATCTTAAAACAGCAGATAGTTCAGATACTTGGAAATTTGACCTGACCTAGAGTTATGTGCCTCCTTTCTTGGGTCTACCAGAGGGAATCAGGAGGAGTTGAAAGCTGGAGTGATTTTTGACAGGGCTTAATGTTGAAATTTCTAATTTTGTATTTTGCATTGCTCAGAAGTCTTCCCTAATCTGCTATCTCTGACGTTGGCAAAAGTAAGAAAAGAGCATTTGAGTCAACAGGAAACGGTGACGCGAAAGCCTTCGCAGCAGTAGCAGCCACATGAGGAAATCACATTGCACCATTTCTGGACTGGGATCGAGATGAATAAAGCCACAAAACAATTGTTATTGTAAATTAAAGAAACACTTAGAGGAAACGAGTAAAGTCCGTGGGATCAGGTGGGCTCATTTCAAGGCTGGCCTCCATCTAGAGATTAGCCCTGCCAACTACGATGCAAGAGAGCTGTTTGGGGTTTTTTTATTTGTTTAAATTTCAGTTTGCCATCTCTATTTGTTCGCCTATTAGCAGGGCAAGGGCTGCTGGAAACACATTCTATGTCCTACGGACAGTGTTTGACAGCAATTACACCCGCTTTATTTGTTTGTTGTCTTAGTGGGGTGTTGGTGGGGCTTGAAGAGAGTCCCTGATTGCAAAAGCCACTGGGGTGGGACAATCCACATAGTGGTTACTGCCCCATGCAAACACAAGCACCCATTGAAATCCAACTCAAACATCACTTTAGCCCTTTGTCCTCACCAGCTCTATTAACAAGCTGTTTGGAACCCTCATACCTTTCCTCTTCATCATCATGGGGGGAGGGACGAATCCAGATTGTATTAAAAGAACATTCTTCCCCCCCCCCCAATGCGCCAAAAGACCAGCGTGATGGCAAACTTCCACCCCCTTCCAGTTAAGGGTCATAGCTGTACAACCCACACACATACCCACGGCCATGTACAACTCACCCAAGACCAAAGACCTCTGGAGACAGCTAGGGTGAGAGGCTTATCTCCAATCAGTCTTTCATGCTAAGTAAATCACGTAGGGCAGCACCACTGCCCCGGTTCAGGCAGCACAGAGGGACGAGATGGAGAAAGACAAGTGTTTCCTACACGCAGACATGGAAGAAGGTAATAGCAAAGCTGCCTCCTCTATCTGCCACCCTACAAGGGCTGCTGTGTCAAGGGCAGTGTGGAGGCCAGAGTGGACTTTTCTCAAGAGAGTCAGCAGTGGAGGTTCAGGAGACCCACTGGAAAACACCAACAGGGCCTCTCCAGCCTCCAGAGCCACCAGGAGTAGGCTTGGACAAGCTCCACACATCCCTGGATGCAACAGAGCTCTCCCAGCTGCTGCTTCTGCCCACCCTGATTCCTCTGCAGGACAAGGGGCTGAGATGCCCCACCAAGGACACATCCCAGCAATAATTTCACCCAAGCCTCCTCTTTAGCTGACAGCTGCCATACAAAGCAGCATCTGGAGGATATGGAGACCTGGTTAAATGCCATTTAGAGCAAGGGTCCAATTCCCCCTCCAAAAAAAACCCCAACAAACTAAACCCCATCAAAATCAACCTGACTTAGGAATTCCACTAAGTTTGCGTTTCATCTTTATGGAAATAATTCATGCACACACCTCCTTAGAAAATTAGCTTTGGGCTCAATCTGAGTTCACTGAAGCCAAAGGGTTTCCCCAAGAAAACAGTAATTTTTCACTGTTTTGGCAATTTATGCTTTGCAGAGCAGAATGCAGGCTTTCAAAATTATCTCCGTACAGAGACAGCTGTGTCACTGCTTCCCAGCAAAAGTTTATTGTTTCCAAAAAGAGTAGTTGGGCTTAGGGAGCTTGCAAGCAAATTATTACAAGACAATTACAAGAGCTGGCAGGCTCCCTCAGTGCTCCCAATGTTCCTGTTCTCCCTTCGTGGTCCACAACCCCCACACAAAGCAATCTGCCTAAGGTCTTGCTGGGAGCCTGCAAATAAACCATGCTGCCTCATCCCGGGCTTCGGAAAGCCACATGTCCAACTCCCCCAGCAGCGCAAGTGACCATCCGTATCTGGGTCAAATCATGCCAAAGCACAGGACTCGCAGGAGAAATAATAAACAGGTTTGTTTCTCAATATTTA